AGGCCGGGCCCTCTGTGTTCCAGCCCAACAGCAGCAGTGACAACATACAGTCCATCACCTCTGGGGACTGGGATGTGACCAAGATTCTGGCATACGACGAGAAGCGGAGTAAAATGTGAGTGAGCAACGGGCCCTGCCTCCCGGTCAGGTCACAGCCCCACGGCCCATCCCCCTGCTGACCGCAACGCATCCACTAAATTATGCTCAGTTAAATTAGACTCACTGAGCGCAGACTGCAGCCCAGGGGCTCGGGATGTCCCCCTTAGACAGTGTCACAGGGTCCGGGTGTCTTCACGGGCATATGCGTGCTCACCTGTCTGACACCCCCCCCCCTCCGCGGGCACCAGGAGCTGCCCTGGTGAAGCCGAGCGGGCGGGCAGACCCGTGGGCTGAGACAGTGCTGGGCCAGGAGCACACCTCGCAGTTCGGAGGGTCACTGAGGCGTTGCCAGTCCGGGCACCATGCTTTATGCACATAATCCCGTGTGACACGGTGGTCTCTCGACGTAGGTGTACTGCCTTCCCCATCTCAAAAATAAATGAGCTAAGACAAAACGAAGTCAAGTGATTTAGCCCTGGTTATTCAGTCATTAACGGGGAGCTGGACTCTCCTCGGACAGCGGGGAGGCCAGGCCCCCGGTCCACACGTGCTCCCTGATCATGTGGCGAGAGCCCAGGTTTCCACACCTGGGGCTCTAGGTGAAAATGCCAGTGAGAGTTACTGGCCCAGAGTTCACATCTGCACTGGTAGTGAGCGGGGCCCCTGCCCTCCAGGCCAGGATCCTGTAACAAAATTCCTGCATCTGAGTCCAAGGTACAGGACCCCACCCTCGCCCCTGCGGCAGAGTCCTGAGCCTGGCTGGGACACCCAGGCCAGCAGCGGCTCAGCCCACCCACACACTGAGGGGAGCCCTGCTCACCCCAGCCACTGAACGGGGGTCCCTGGGAAGGGGGTGCAGAGGCGGAGCCTGGCAGGTGGGATGCACGCTGCCTGGGAGCCCGCTAACCCCAGCACCCTTGCTTGTGTCTGCAGCTACTTCCTGAGCACAGAGGACCTGCCCAGAAGACGGCAGCTGTACAGGTACGTGGGGCCCTGCTGCGCACGGAGGCTCTGCTGCGGGAGGGCGGTGGGCGGGCGGAAATGTGCCCTTCAGCCGGCCGCCCATTCGGGAGGCAGAGAAGGAATCCTACCACACGCGCAGGGATGTCACGTCAGGAAAGCGCGGAGGACATGCGCTCAGGCCACCAGATGTGAAGCGTTATTTTATTTTTCTGCTTCTGTCGCCTTGAGTGTCGCCCCTGTTACAGTGCCTCTTGATAACCGGTGGGCTTCTAACCCTCTTTGCTTTTCACTGTTATTAAAATGCGGACTTGGAGGGGTTGTCTAACCTGGGTTTTTTCCGGAGGGAGAGCCTGGCTTGGGAAGCCCACTGGAGTGGGGCCGGGGCAGGAGGTAGGAGGGCGGCTCCACCTGCCCCGCGTCCCGGCTGCCTTGCTGTGTGACGCCATCCAGTTCCGTAAACTCAAGGGGGTCGGGGTGGGGTGGTGACCTCCGAATCCTGGAGAAGGCTAGGGTTTTTCCAGGGTCTGCCCATCTGCAGCATAAATCCTGTCAGCTGCGCAGTTACTATTCTGACTAAAGGTGGTGGTTCTGAAGTGGGGTTCACAGAGAGCAGTGGGGCGACCTGTGACGTACTCGAGGCTTTCCAGACGGAGGGTGGCAGCTGGTTACAGCCACACGCACAGGGGCCGCTGAGGAGGACCCCAGGTTTCACGTAGACCTAAGGGCTTGAGGCAGGCGACTCACAGCCTGACAGCCGCGGCCTGGCCACCCCACCCACAGCTGGATGGCTGTGTCCCCTCCCACCCGCTGGCCCCACGCAGAGAGAGTAAAAGGGCCAGCAGAGGGGTCCTTCGGCAGATCTATGGGGCCACAGACGTGCTTCCCGCTGTGGACTGTTCATCCTGCATGTCTGTCAGGATAACTCAGATGTGTCCTGTCACCAAGTTCGTCAGAGGTGACCAAGTCACACCGCCGAGCTTCTCTGGCACACTGCTCGAGGGTTGTCTTCTCTGCCCCGTGAAATAGCTTCGCCTTTGTAGGCAGGTTTCGTATTGGGACCTTGCAGTGTGGACCGCTCCTACACAAAGTGCCCAGATAAGACCCCCTCCCCCCCAGGTACCTGAGAAGATCCCTCGGCATCTCCTCCATTTTGAAAACGCCTTTTAGGCCTTTTTGACGTGAAATCGCACCTGACCAGAGTGGTCCTGAGGTGCCTGTTCTTCTAGGTCCACTGAGTGAGAAGCAGCGTCTCACCATGGGTACGAAGTACTAGGTAATAACACCAGACACTGCAGCGTCCTTGTGTCGGGGACGTGCCCGGGCCTGGTAAAAGCGTAGGTGACCAAGGAGACCACTCCGTAGAGCAGGCGTGCTGAGAGCTCCTCCAGGTGGAGGGTCTGCCTGCCAGGGAAGGTGAGCGCGGGCCTCCCAGCAGTCAGGTGCAGGAGCGAGGCCCAGCGGTGAGGGTCAGGGTCAGGGGCGCCTGAGCTGCTTGGGTGGAGAGAGCTCAGCCAGCTGGAGACGCCCAGCAGGGGGCTGGGCCTTGACCTTGGGGACAACTTCCTCCCGGCTGAGTTCACCTCTGTCGCCTTCCCTCCTGCAGCGCCAGCACCGTGGGCAACTTCAACCGGCAGTGCCTGTCCTGCGACCTGGTGGAGAATTGCACCTACTTCAGCGCCTCCTTCAGCCACAACATGGACTTTTTCCTGCTCAAGTGCGAAGGTACGTTCTGGCCACCATGCCTGGCCCAGCCCTAAATCCACGCTTAGATCCAGGGCGGGCATACCTGCAGGCAGGGGAGACAGACCTTATTCCAGGTCAGGTGAGGGTCCTGCCCCACCGATGACACTGGCCGACAGGAGCAGGGCCTCTGGTCACCTCCCAGGCAGCTGCAGTGCGGATATCCTGCACTGTCACCGGAGGGCCCACATGCTGTGCCAGTCAGCCCCAAAGCCCGCCCACATTTTCCATCTCAAAGGTCCCGGCAGCAGCTTGGGGTTAGTGTCTCACACGCTGATTGGACCCGGTCATCTATAAAGGTCAACTTCCTAAGCAAATGGAAGGTTGAGGTTGTATAAAGGAAGTCTCAGCTCCTTCTGGAGCACTGCCATGTGAGTTCCCGCCTGGAGGGACTCATGCTGGGGGCAGGGGATGTCATTTAATGTGGTCAGTGCCATTACAAAGATGTGTGCAGGGCCTGGGGGAATTCTTGTTCTGTGCTTCCCGGGAGCCAACAATATGCATTTGAATGAGACCTCGTCCTTGACCTTGGGGAGGTTACAGACACATGGTGAGATGCTACCTAACAAAAACCCATCGATGTGGGACCCAGAAGCTGCTCTGAAAAGCCAGCCGTCAGCCTCCTTCCTCCTGCTAGCAGAGCCCTGTGGCAGATGAGCAGATTCAGACACTTTATACCTCTTGCCCCGAAAGCACGCGGCTAGTTAGGGGCAGAGCCAGCACTGGAATCAGCACCTTTTCCACGTCTGCGTACTCCAGTGCCTGTCAACACCACTTTTACTCCCTCTCCTGCACAGGGAGAAACTAGCATTTTCGCTGATTATTTTCCATTACCGTCTCTTCTGCAGACCTAAGTG